AAAAAAAAAAATCTATATTGCAATCCTTATGTTTCTAATGTATTGCCACTACTTGGGAAAACACATATATATGTATATACTATTAACATAGTATACTATTCGTGTGGTATACAATTATAGTGTACTATTATGTACAGTTACAGTGTACATAATCGTACACTATTATGGTACACAATGTTACAATATGATATACCATACTTAATATACTACAGTACTATATAGCATATGCCATAACAGTAATACTATATACTATAACACTATCATAGTACCATGTGATAGTATATTATAGTACACTCTAATAGCATAGTATAGCATTAGTATACTATTAATGTACTATATAGAATAACTAAAAGCGTGTATCTCGATGACTTAAAACCATTTTAAAATGTCCAGGAATGGGAAGGATGGCCCGCTGCTGGCCCCAACAGAACAGACCAGAACTGCTCCATGGGTGTCCAGGGCTGTCACCTTTAGGAGGGGCCACTGTCAGGCCTTTCTTCTGTGGGTTTGAACTAGCAACCATTAGGGAATAAAACCCAAACCAAACCTGCTGCCATTGAGTTGATTTCAAGTCATGGTGACCCTCTAGATTAGAGTAGAATTTCCAGGGCTAGAGTTTTAAGATTAAAAAAAGAAGAATTTCCAGGGCTATAAATCTTTATGGAAGCAGAAAGCCTCATCTTGCTCTCCCTGAGTAACTGGTGGGTTTGAACCACCAACCTTACAGCCCATTGCTTAATACATTGCATTGCCCAGTAAAAATGCCTCTGCTACTAAGTTACTCTAATAAATCTTTAAGGGAGCAGAGAGCCTTATCTTTCTCCAAGTAGCGGCTGGTGAGTTTGAACCTTGTGATTGGAGATCCAAGGCTTATCTGACAGGGACACCAGGGCTCCCTTAGCCAAAAGCAAACTGCACCATCCATCCAGGACCTTTCCTTATAATGGGATAGAGTTACAAAATGATTGGAATGTAAACATTCTGATGTGCTGGAAAATTATCTTATGCTTACATTAAGCTGACAGGTACTCAATTTGAAAAATGTTTAAAACAAACAAACAAAATCATTCATATCCCGCAAATAGTTTAAAAGTGGAAAAAGAATTTTAAAACATCCTACTTAACCTGGAATTACAAACCATATCACGGGAGCTACGCCCTGTTGGATCATGTGTACCTTTGACAGCCTGGGCTTCCCGAAGAAGGTCCATCACCTCTCTCTCGGCTTCCTTCAGGCGATCTTCAAAGGCTTGGTCTGTCACGGTCTCATCCCCAGTTCCGAGGTCGGCGATGAGGCGCTCCAGCTCTTGGAGTTTCGCCCGGTGGTCAGCAACCTAAACCGTGAAGAACGTGGAGACAGGTAGGACACTCTGGATCACAACTGCGACAAGGACAGCATGGGTGTTCTTCCAGGATTTATGGAGATGCCTCTACTTTTCAGCACATCCCAGGTGCAGTTTGTCTTTATTTTTCAGACTCCAAAGGAAACCTGGTCAGGGCCGTACCTTTGACTTGAAACACTGTGTGCTGCTCCATCTAGCAGCAGTCTCTCCTAGAGTTGACACCTCCCTCGTGGCTAAGAAGAGCCCTGGTGGCACAGTGGGTCGGCACTGAGCTAGCTGCGAACCCTACTCCCTAACGAGTGCAGTCTCGGACACCCACAGGGGCAGCTCTGCCCGTTAGCAGGATCCCTGTGAGGCAGAACCAGCTGGATGGCAGGGACTTTTTTGGTTTAGTATCTTCATTTGGTCTTCTGATCGCTGTAGCTCAGACTTCGCATCTAAAATTATACTTGTTTTCATCTCTTTTGAGTACCATGTATACTCATGTATAAGCTGAGTTTTTCAGCACATTTTTAATGCAGTTTTTGTGGTAAAATTGGTGCCTCGGCTGATATTCAGGTCGGCTTTATACTCGAGTATATACAGTAATCCTAATTTCAATAAATAACTACTCCATCTACTTCAAGCCAAAAAACCCCAAGACTCTTCTTAATTCTTCTTTTCCCCCATCCGTGCCCATTGAGATTGTCCGCCTCCCCCAACAAACACCCATATTTAGCAAATGCAATTTACTCTTTCATATTCCCCCGCTTAGAGTATATGTATATGTATATTAAACAGAATTAGAGTAGATATATATATTAAAGTATATGTATATGTATATTAAACAGAATTAGAGTATATGTATATGTATATTAAACAGAAATGGAATTTTTTAGCTTAATCCTCTTTCGTGGATTCCCAGTAGATGTGATATAAACTCTAACTTCCTCACCATGGTCAACAGATACATGGCCCTCCAAACAAACCTCTCCAGTTTTATCACCTACCAGCCTTCCCTCGTTTAGAATGTTCCAACCACCCTGCAGGCCCAGGATTTTGCACAGCATGCTCCTTCTTATCTTGATAAACTCACCTGAAATGAACTGCCCTAAAGAATCTTATATAAACCACACCCCGCCAGTTATTTTCTGCCTCCTTAATGACACTTAGCTCATGTAGTCATACTTTTGTGTACAGGCATGCCTTGATTTATAAATAGTTTTATTGGCATATAACTCATGTACCAGAGTGCAATCTTTGGATATATTAAAGAGACTTATGCAATCATCACCACAATTAATTTTAGGGTATTCTCTTCATTTTTGTACTCATTATGATCAGCTCCCTATTTCGATGCAGCTCCCTGCCATCATTCCAAGAAACTATTAATATAGGCACTGTCTCCGTAGATTTACCTATTCTGGATTTCATGTAAAGACAATCGTACAATGACCCCAACAACAGTAACAAAATAAAACATAAAAAATCTCAGTGCAAAAGAAAGCAGAAAATGACAAAACCAGAATAAATTAAAAACAGTGAAAAGGGAAAACAAATAATAAGATGTTAAATTTTAAAACCTAACTATATCTGCATCATTCACTTTCTGAATTCCTGGAGGGAATTCAAGGGAGGTTTAATCCCCATAGTGACTCTGTATATGGGGTTTTGTGATTATACCGTCATAAATTTAAGCTCTAATATAATTCCCTCCTCTGATCTTGGATTTTATTTTTCTTGTCTGGAATCACACAGGCTGGTGTGCTTCTTCCCTGTGGACTCAGCAGATGGCTCACTTAGATGGCTACTTGTTTTAAGACAAGCCTTTAAGACCCCACTCTTCTTTCTCATAGCCAAGCACCTCTGATTTCTACACCACATTTTGCTGTAGCACCCATATCTTCAGTGATCCCTTCATGAAGGTAAGTAGCGAGCAGGGCCATGTCATAAGAACTAATTACCTTAGGGCCTAAGAGGTTAAGCACAAGTTCAAAATCCATTCATATATCCTGTTCTACCTTAGTGACATGCCTGCTTTTTGAAAGTTTGCTTTACGCCACTTTGCTTCCCCCACCCCTCCAAAACCCCAAGAGTATTATTTTAGATTTTGCGAAAGAGCCGGCATTCAGCGTCTGCTTTGCGGCAGAGCCATTAGGGAATCGTGCCCGCTCCAGCAGTGACAACGAGAGCGGTGTCTCCGCCCGCAGTCGGCACTCAGCATCCAGTCACCGCAGCTCTGTCTGAACTGTGTCTGCGGACATTAATGCACGTGGTCGTTTAGGTCCTGTGTGTGAATTGACGGAATGTGCTAGGCTGTTTGGGGGGATCTAGGAGCACTCAAGATCTTATTTCACACACACACACACACACACACACACACACACGCACACGCACACGCACACGCA